ACAAAATCACTACAAATATTTTTCACTATCCTTAAGGAACTGGTTCCAGGAACCCTGGGATACCGAAACCCATATATATTCAAGTGCTGTTAACAAAATGGTGTATCTAATGCATACAAGCTAGGAATGTTCTCCACATGTGTTATATCACCTCTGATTTTCCAAACATACGGAATTCAATGCAAGTGATATGTGAATAGTTATTATGTTATATCACCTAGAGGATGGCAAAAAAAAAGTCTGTGAATGGACTGGAGAGCTGACCCAGCTATGAAGAGCACTGTTAGTCTTGCAGAGGAACCCAGGTTTGGTGCTCAGCACCCACATGCTGGCTTACAGCCATCCCTAATTCCAGTTGTGGGGAATCTAACCCTCTTCTGATCTTCATGGAGACTATGAACACATGCAGTGCACATTCATACAGGTAAACAAAAAGCTCATATATATTAAATAAAATCAATAATAAATGTTATAAAGAAAGATCTATATATGTTTAATTTAGGTGCAGTGGTTTTATATGATCTAAAGAGAAACCTGAGTAGATATACCTAATTTTTAATATTTCATTGTAAAATCTATAGATGAGGAACCCACAGAGAGAAAGGCTGACTCTATCTCTATTTTTTAATTTAGAAATCATTTAAAAAATTTCTAAGAAATTGAATAACTCAAATTAGAAATCAGAAAATTGAATATAAGCTCTTTATTTTTTTCTTAAAATGCCATGTGAATGGACTTTAGGAAACATACTTCTCATTCCTAGGCCTTCACCTTTTACATGAATTGCCTCCACTAGAGAATATTGAAGGGTTTGCCAGATCTAAAATTTCCCTGTTCCACTAAGCAAGACAAAGCAAAAAAGCAGTTTAATTATGATCTTTTAGCATTACAGGGTTGCTCTATCAGGAGAGCTCTCCTGAAATACATTAGTTTTCTCCATTTCTGGCCTGAATATATTATGTGGTCTATCATGACTGCATAATGGATAGTCCTGAACGCTTTCAATTAAATACATTTAAATTCCCTAAAGCACACAGTAATCTTGATTTAAAAAAAAAATCAACAGTTTATTATGGATGGAGCACTTCCAAAAGGCAATAATGTTCTTCAGAGAGCAGGTGCTTCTATTCAAATAACTTGTTGAAAAGATGCACAGGGTTGTTTGTTTCATTTGAAGCTGGGCAGACTTCACTGTACACGTGATCTATGAATAGCAAAGCGAATTGAAGAAGTCCCCCCTCCAAGACTGAAGGGTGTTCATACCCATATCCTAGTTGTCCTCAGCTAATCTCACCAAATGAAAAAAAGTGACTGGAATAGTAAGTGAAATCACGAACGAAGAAATAAATATAATTTATTTATTTTTATTATTTTAAAAATATAAATAATATTTTAAAGCCAAGTGTGCTTTTTTGCCACTAAAGTATTTATTATTGGGATGGGTACATAGCACTCTTGGTAGTGTGCTTGGCTAAGCTGCATGAGATCTTGAATTCCCTTCTCATCACTGCATAACTGAGCACAATGGCAGACACCTGCAATACCAGCACTCGGCAGGTGGAGGCAGGAGAATCAAAAGTTCAAAGTCATCCCTGGTCATATAATGAGTTGAAAGAGGCCTTTGATGCAGGAGATCCTGTCTTATACAAACCAAAATTTACCTTTATGGTATCCCTGAACACTTTTTAAAATGTTTTGTTTAAAATTTTCAGTAGTCAAAAAGAAATGCATTTAAAATTAATGAGAAATTTAAAACCAAATGTCAATTGCTTATAAGGCACATAATATAAGAAATGTTACAGAATTATACCATTTTTAGGATAATCATTTACCATATAACCAAGAAAGGCTATAGTGTACTGACTATGTATGTAGTACACTTTACTTCTGAGAACCCCATGGAAAGGCAAAAAGGAAATTGATCATGTAACACTCTAACGCTATTTCAAATTACTGAAGTTCAAGTCCTTGTTCATACCCTTACCTGTGATTTTAGACTTTGAATTTAATTAATGTGGGCCTCACTTGGTAAAGCTAAAGGCTGTGTAACACATGTTTCTACTCCTTTCCAAAGGCTGCCTCCCTCTCACAGAAGCTTTGTCTTGGTCCATGCAATGATGGACAAAAAGCTAATGATCTTTCCATCTTGTGAAGTGTTCTAAATTATATAATTTTAGTCTTGGAAAGTTTGGCTTACATTATCTTAGATGTTTGTTTCCTTGTTTTTTGTTTGTTTGATTACTCTAAACAGAAGATAAATAACCAAATATAATAATTTAATAACTTGTACCAGCTTCTCAACAGATTAATTCTTTGTATTCTTGTTAGTCATACAATGCCATGAATTAGGACACAAGCGTTATAGTTTCAGTGTCAAATGGCATCTCTCTCTCCCTCTTACTACCAGCTACATGACAGCTGTGTGTGTGTGTGTGTGTGTATAAACACATATAAACACCTACAACACACACACACACACATATACACACACAGCTGTCGTGTAACTGGTAGGAAGGAATAGGAGGGGAAAGCACAAAATAAACAATCTATAAAATTGTATGGATATTCATTAAATGCTCTCTAAGGCAATAGCTTGGTTGGTGTATGCCTGTATTCACTTCTTTATTATAAGCACATTGTAAGAATTGTGTAATTCTATTTTAAGTAGCACTATTTATTTTGTTTTTCAAAGCAAGGGTCATCATTTTACTATTCTCCATATAGAACACCTAGCTATGGAAAGAGGAAGCAAACACATATGTTTTTAAATATAGACATGCCCATATTTAAATCCCTGCTCCATGAATACAATAATAGGGCAAGCCCACTCTTGCTATGCTATGACTGTGAAATTCCTTTCTTTAGTCCATTTGTACAACAGGACTCATACTACGTGTTTTAGAATGTTGTACTAAGAATCATAAGAAAAATACGGTGTTAATGCTAAGTGAATGGCTCTCAGGCTACTGTGTGTTGTCATTGCTGTTACCTGAAATTAGTACAACTCTATGTAAGCTGTGTCACCATTAAATTATTGTGCAACAGTTAGATGCTTTATATATGACCAAATTCTATATTTTAGGTTTAGATTAAAAGCTCTTCAGACCAGAATGTATGAAACATTGACTACCATGTATGAAAAATATCATAACCCTTCCTTCCATGGGGATGAGACTGACCAAGGACCTATTTAGTAAGGCATACCTTTATAAATGTTTCAAAATCACTCCCTTATGTCTTAGGTCAATACCCTGGTGTCCTCCTCAGTTTGGGTGGTAGTTTTATTAAGTCTAAAAATATTTCTGATTTAAATATTGCTCATCAATTAATTTTTGACAATTGATTCCATATACTTAACAACACATTCTCATCACATTCATCCCTGTATTCTCTTATCCCCCTTCCACCCCTACCAATTTACCCCTCCTCCCACTAAGACCTCAAAACATTTTCATATCTTTTTACACTTTTTGTTGTTGTTGGTGGTGGTGGTGCTGGTGGTTAGTGACTAATTGGATTTAACTTTCATGAGGATGGCTAGGAGTGGGAATAACCTACCAGTAGCTACATATTAAAGACAGCAGTGTCCTTTCCCCTGGCATCCCTCAACCTTCTTTAGCTCTCTCTTTTAGGGTAGAGTATCATGAACCCCTCCCCAGTGATGACTGGATGTTTAAGGGCTCAGTCCCATACAGGCTCTGTAACGTTAAGTCTTGTGAGCTCATGAGTACTACAGCCATGCCATGCCCTTAAAACAAAGTTTTACAGGCTTTGTCCCTAGAGTCCAGCTCAATAAGATCATATGTAATTTTATTTGTTTTGTTGGGTTTTTTGGAGATACTAGTCTTTAAAAAAGCTACTAAATGCCCATGAGAATCAGTTAGAGGAGACAGGAGGTCTAGATACTTCTTAAGAAGACTAATACCTCTAGTATATTATGAAGTTTGCTCCTAGCAAGTTTCTTTTAAGTAAATAACAAAAAGAAAAACCACAAAGGACAAAATCCCTCACATGTGGGACACCAAATAATACAATATCCCATTTAAAAGAGCACTAAGGAATACTCCTATGAGAACTTTAAATTTCATATACATTTTTACATTCAAGCATAAGAATAACACTGTGGTTATATGCTGCACGTTTCTTCCTTGGCTGGTTTTTATACCTTATTATAGCATGGTCTAAGGTTCTCAAGTCGGTTCAGATTTCCAACAAAACATGAGCCACACAGTTGTAAATGATTCGGATAGATGAGGTCTTTGACATTCAGGTCAGGTCTTTTCCATCAGCACTGAGGCACTTGAGCAAAGCTCATGTGTTAAGAAACAGCAGTGGTGGCGAGAACATGCTTTAAACTAAGATTTCTTGGAATCAGAACTAGATTCTTAAAACACATAAATGAGACATACACACACTTCCTTCTAACTGCTGTTTTAACTTGTTAAAAAGTAAAGGTGTTTTAATTAGGTCTTGTTAATATTAATATTTATCTTGTTGTTTTGTGCCCAAACTATGTCACTTTATTATGCTAAATTAAAACTCTGATGGAAACATCCAATTAATACTCAGGACAAAAATGCATCCGTATGTCACATTTAATCAGCAGTTCAATGCAATCATACCTTGAGTATACTCATGACCAGCTCAGTCCTTTGTGATGTATTCGTAAAGCCGGAATGTCTATTATTAGTACTCAATAATTATGTGAATAAGAGAAAATGAATAGTTGCTTCTCCTTTCAAATCTACAAATGACCTCTTTCCTCTTGTTGAAAAAGACAGGAAAGGAAGCAGTGGAGTGAGAGAACTGAGATTAACTCTGATAAAAGGAGGCTCTGGAACCAGAAGTGCCACTGCACTTCATGCTCCCATGTCCCAGCTAATCAAACTTCACAGGAGCTGCTCCTTGTGAGGAATGAGGTTTCCTCTGGCCAGACCAGAACACTGTCCTCCCTGCTGGAGCCCCCAAAAGCTCGACAGCATCCTTAGCCAAGAGCCTACCTTAATGAGAATTTGAATGGACCCTGTGGCTTTTTCAGATATGAAGTACCAGAAGCTCATAGTGCAGGCAGCGCTGGATTCTTTCCAAATGGCACTCGTGAAGTGGGCTTTGTCACCGCGAAGACCCACTGGGGTGGCCTCAAGATACATGAAGTGACCTAGGAATAAGGATGGAATTTAAATAGAACCAAAGGAACAATGAGAGGATTATTCTAGCTTTCTCATCTTAGTCGAGGTTTTTTATTACATTTCGTGTGATCTAGCTGCCAATGGCATTTTCATCTGATATGGAGAATACATCCATAGCCTTGTTTCTAGCTCACTGGCAGAAAAACTTCTAACAGTGTGTGCTTTTAGCATCGCGCTTCACAGTATGCAAACTAAAGGGTTTGCCAGGGTATTTGTGCCATCACATCAACAAGATGGTCACAGGAATCATTTAATGGACTCCATAAACTATCCAGTTATTATAAAAGAATTCAAAGATTTCCATGGCATAAAAATAAGTGAAGATCCAGTTGCCTGTTATGTGTAACATGAAAAGAAAGCTATTGAGTTTTATCATTACTATGAAATTATCTAAAGCATATCATGGATGTCAGTATGTCAGATGAGTGTTTAGATTTTTGCATCTGTGACCTAACTTATCAGATCCATTTTATGTGCCAGGGAAATTTCAACATTGAACTATCATTCTGCTATTTTGTACTGCTCAGGATGTTATAGGTCTTTGTTATCCTATTAATGTTCTTTGCTCCTTGAGTGTTGCATCTGACATTTGGCTATAAATACTTACTATAAATAATAGTCTATGTCCAGCACTTTTACAGATGTAGTCTTAAGGTATTATTTTCACAGTTTCTCAATAAGGTTCAATCTCATTACCTAGGGCTTCATCCTGTTCTATCTTAGAACCTCTGTTAGGTACAGTGAGAAAACTTCACTATCTCCATTTGACAATTTTTGAAGCTGAGCTTGTGAAAAATCAAGCGATTTGCTAATGATCAAATGAGTGTACAAATTCAGGGAGATCGATTACAGATAAGTATATTCCACTTAGGAAAAGTGTCTGGTAAGAGCAAGTGTTGTCATTTAATTAAGGTTACTAAAACTAAAATTAATGCAAGATTGTGACTGTCGTTATGGGCTGATTTTTCTCTGTCATCTCTCAGTCCCTGATTCAATTACCTGTTCTTATCATGATCACTGTTTGGAAATATTACCACTTACCTACCAGTTGAAGACAGGTAAAGGTGATGCTATTAAAATGAACATTAGTCAATATACCTGGAATCTAACAAAAAAAAAAAGAACTGTGGAAAATACCATGCCATACACAAGAGGAGTTGATGTGATGATGCAGGGCAAACTATCAACTAAAAGTGGGGAAGTTGTGAAGCTACGAGGGCCTAAGGTAGAGACATGAAAGACCAGCTTCTTCCTCACAGCCCTTAGAAGGAACCAGTGCTGCCACCAGCTTCCTTTTGGGTCTCTGACTTCCAAAACCGAGACAGTATTTGTGTCCAGGGTCTCGGTCACTTAAACTAGGTGCCTTGGTACAGCTGTTCTAGGATATGAACACACATGCTGAACGTTTGTTTGAACAACATTCTCTCTGCCATGGGCTCTTCAGCTGCTGCTGCTGACAATAAAGTAGACTTTATGAACATACACAGGGCAACCACAACAACCTCATCACTTACCATGCTCATTCCCAAGTGTGTGGTCTCTGGGGGGTCGACGACTTTTATGAGAGCCAATTCCTGAAACCCAGTCTGAGTTTTCAGCTAGGGAGTTCTTCCAGCCACACCAACCTTTCTCAAAAGTGCAGGAACCACCACATTCATTTTCATCACTGTTATCCCCACAGTCATCTGCAAAATTACAGCTCTGCTCTGGACTATAGCATCTGCCATTTTGACATTCTTTATAGCCATGTGGGCAAAAACCTGGAACAAAACAAAAATGGAATGATAGATTAATCCATTAATAGTCTTGAGGCCATAGAATGGATTTGTTATAATGTAACAAGGACTACACTTTGCTCAATAACTTGAGGTATCTGACTCCCATTTCTCTCTTCTAATTTATTTGATAGGTCAGGCTCATTCACAAATAAAACAAAGAATATGAAATTCAAAAGAAAAGTCCACTTTGTACATCGACCTCAAATTTGATCTTTTACATTATAATGTAAAGTCAGAAAGAAGCTTCATTTTTGACTGTTGTTTGGTTCTGACATTCTTGGTATTGTTATTTTTTTTTTTTAAGATGAAGTCTCTCTCAGTAGTCTATCCCAAAAGTAACTATGTTGCTTAGGCTGACATGGAAAATTCAAATCAATTTTCAGGCCATAGCATCTTGAGTCCTAGGATTACCTATAGGGACTTCCATACTTATTTCCTTCCTAAGTTCCTAGATGCCTGGAAGACAAGCTATTAAGATGATTTCCAGCTATATTTCTAGGATGGGGACTCCCATGACTGGTAGGAAGTTGCAGGGTGGCTGAGAGTTGGTGTAGATAAAAGGTGTTGAGTGATGTTTCAGGCACGCACTGAAAGATGCTCTGGAAATTCCTGCAGAAATGTCTGTTATAGCCTGAATCTTAAATATCTTCCAACAGCTTGCTTTGGAAACATAATCCCCAGAAAAACTTATTGGAAGGCTGAAGAACTTTAAGAAGCAGCATTTACTTTAAGTCACTAGGAGTGTGACGTTGAAGGGAATTGTGGACTCCTATCCCTTCATCTATCACTTTTCCACTTCTTACCAAGAGATAAAGAGTTATGTTATGTTAGGCTCCCAGTTATGATGTGTGTCACCCCAGGCATAAAAGCAAAGGAGCCAATGAATCATGAACTCCAAAACTTTGAGTCAAAATTAATGTTTTTTCCTTATAATTTGATGATCTCAGGCATTTTAATAATGACAGTGAGAATGCTACAATTTCACATGATATTGATAGTCAAGGGAAAGCAGATGATGGATGAAAACTGATATAGAATTTACTGGGATAAAATCCCTGTCCAGAAGGTTTCCAGCCATTCCCTGCTGTGTACATTTCTGAATCACCACTGTGAAGATGCCCAAGTTATTGGGCTTCACTCTCCAAAACCCATGAAGATAAATTTCCATTAAGCACTCTGCTTCCTACAGACTTACTTCTATGGATTAATTTCTGAATGATTTTTTTCTGTTTGTTTGCAGTAATGAATCAAAATTTGTTTCAGTTTAGTGGATAGATGATAAGACAAAAACCTTTTAATATTTAAATTATGGAACTCAACTAAAAACCACAATGCAAAAACACCTTCAGAGTACAAAAGAAGGGAAAATACTTACATTAACTTTTTCACTCATAGACGAGAAAATCAAAGGTTAAAGATGTCAAATGAAATGTGAATTTTTCAAAAACAGAGTTGCCATTTAGACCTAGCTCTCAAATCTTCTAACTATGCTTGAATCCACTAGCTTAAAATGGACGAGGCTTTCTGTCACAGGGAAGCACTATCAAGGACTTGTAGGATGGCAGAAGCATCATTTCTGAAGGCTAAAGAGAAGCTGAGAAAATACATTATTTCATTTTACAAAAACTGCCACTTATATTGATTCTGCCCATTCCAATTTATTTAGAGAAGAAAAATAAAACCAGTTAAGAATTTAAGAGATGATTTTTTCCAAGGTAACTAAGTCAAACCACAACTGAATTCTCCCAAGTTAAAAAAGAAAATATATACATAGTTCTGAAAAGAAAAATATTAAAATTTTAATAAACCACAAAAACTCAGTAGAGCTAATATTTTGGGATAGTGATATATATTTCAATTGTTAAAAACTAACTACATAAATAAAAGTAAGTTATATAACTATACAAAACTATATTTATAATAGTTTATACATTAATAAAGAAAATATCACTGTTATAAAACAGTTCATTCCATTCATAAGATACACAGTGATCCTGTTGTGGAGTTCAAGACCAACAAAAGACCACTCAGACTCTATCAATACTTTAGTCATTCAAATTTTAACTAGGCTGCAGCTGACCACAAATCACTTGATGGGACTGTGGCCCTGCTAAACAGGGAGGGGAATTTTCAAAGGCAGAAACCACAGTTCATTGCTGCAGACACACATTTCTACAGGTGTGAGATAACTCCCAGGGTCTTTTTAGTTGTGAAGTAATTGAAATGGCATAAAATTCCTGGAACTGTCTTAAAAGCCTTAGGTTGCTGAGGATAAGCCACAATCCTCTAAGATGGGGGCTTTCATCAAAATGGAATCCTCAGCAGCTCTATTCTCCAGTGGCTCTTGGCCCTATGAATCAGACTGCTCAATTACTTTCTTATCAGGCTAAAGGTTGATATTGAGCCTGTAGGGTATGCAAAGTTGATGCTAAGTCTTTTTTTTCATATATGTAAGTAGCCAGTTTATAACACAAGTGCTTAACAACCACAAGCAACATGAGACACTTTTCAGTTGATATAGATGTAACATGTGGTGTATATACATATGCTATCTAGGGAAGGACATAGACCAATGGCACATTCAAGAAAGAATGTCCAGAGTCTTGACAAAACATGAAGCTTCAAATGCCTCAGATACACACCAAAGGATCTCTAGTGTTGTAATTTATTCACTTTAACAAAATAAAGTTCCCTGCCATGATGGGGAATGACTAATTTAACAAATGAACACAATATACATACAAAGAACATATATGGAAATATGTATTTGAAAATGAAAGAAGCACATTTTTATGAGGTCAATCATCAAAGCTATTAGCAATCACAGGGTTCCAAATTCTGCATATTTAGTAATTTAAGATAAGTCAGTTCTCATAACCTTTAGGTCAGCGACATATTGTATAGGAATTTACAGCTGTGGCCAGAGACCAGTTTTATGTCTCTGTGACCAGAGACCAGTTTTCCTACGAAAGGTTTAGCAATTAAAACATTCTTAAGAATACCTTCCTGAGATGGCATAACTATAGTTTAGTGGCCCACTACAATCTAGTTTTAACAAAGAGAAATTATCAACTAATATTATTTACCTATTTCCAAGTTATTTTATTTGATTATTATTTTTGCCAAAAGCAAAACAAAGCAAAAGAAAAGAAAACCAGTAATGTAAGCATAGGCATGGTTGCTACAGCTTTGATGATTAAACTCATAAGATTGTGATTCATTGATTTTTACAAATATATTTCCAATTATGTGCTTCATATTATGTTTATTGATTAAATTAGGCATTTACCATCATGGCAGAGATGTTTATTTTGTTAAAAAGAATAAATTGGGACAATATGGATCCTTCTGTATACATCTTAGACACCTGTAACTTCAAGTCTCAGATTTTCTTTTCTGAATATGCCAATTTGATGGATAGTCTCTTCCTTTTCTATTAACAGTGATTCTATGCTTCTAGTTACTCAGGAAATGATATCTGGAGGAACTCTATGAACTTATGAAACATATTTTGGTACTCAACTTGATTCCTTACATACAGTCTTTAAGTTTCATCCCATTTCTTTCCCATTTATCTTTCACTTCTTGGATTTGGAGTGTCCTGTTAATCTCACAGATTCAAGGAGAATGATCACTGACCCAAATCACGTAAAAATTAATTAAAGCAAGCCTTTCTATTGATGTATATGGGTCATCTCTTCCTAAGGTGGGTTTAAGAGGTCATTGAAACAGGCAATACAGAATCATTTGTAGTTAATGTTACAGATAGGACTAGCCCAATCTTTGAGAAACAAAGATTTAATCATAAATAGGAATGAGCTTAGTTTGTTTTTGCTACAAGATATCTTTAATACCTAAGATGGAAGCAAGCTGGTTCATTGTGCACCACTTGGGCCAAAAGGCAATAATAGGAACATATACAAGAATGTACTTATGTACTTGGATACAGAAAATCTGATCCGACATTCTCCTCAAACAGCATAAAATCCCTAAAGCAATCTCTTCCCCTACTCCTTTATTTGTGACTATGCTTGACACCCATGTACTTCCCATAAATCTCCAGTATGTGAAATATACAACTTTTCAAGGGGCTCTTGGCTTATATACACTGACATTGGTCTCAGCATTTGCCCACATCTGGCAGAGGGCCAAATAATCTACAGAAGATCCCAAGGCTCTAGGAGCAGTGGTTTTCATAATATAATATAATATAATATTTTAATCTCATAAATCATAAAATCTCTCAACAAGCTTAGTCCAACTGTTGGCTCTATCACTTAAATATATTGCATCATATCTTCTGTCTTTATTTTGGCAAAATAAAGACAGTATTGTTTTTCTGGATTTTATTGCCATTTTCTTTCTGATCATTGCATTCTAACCTTAACACAAATATAATAATCTAGAACCACAAATTTTTTCAATATGAGATAAATGTCATATGCAACTTCAATTTTACAACTATTTCTAAAGTAGTCTCCATTATGCAAAAGAATGTCTTCAAAATACCCTATTTGGGGGCCAGGGAGAAGAAAGTTGATGAAGATGAGCCTCAAATCTCTGAGTGTGCACATGAAATTTAAATAACCAAAAAAGTAGCATTAGGGTTTTCTTAGTTAAGATTTCTATTGCTGTAGTGAAACACCATGACCAAAAAAGAAGTTGGGGAAGAAAGGTTTTATCCGGCTTGTGCTCCAACATCAGTGCTTATCATCAAAGGAAGTCAGGCCTAGAATTCAAACAGGGTAGGAATCTCGAGGCAGGCTGACTTGCTCTCTATGGCCTGCTCAACCTGATTTCTTTTAGAGCCCAGTAGCACTAACCAAGGAATAGCACCATCCACAATGGGCTGGGACCTCCCATATCAAATCACTAACTAAGAAAATAGAGGCATTTTCTCAATTGACATTTCCTCCTTTCAGATAACTCTAGTTTGTGTGCCAAGTTGGCATAAGACTAGCCAGCACTTGATGAAAGGCGTA